CCGCTTCTCCTTGACCCATAGTCAGCACTCTTCCTGCTGCTCCTGTCGCCTGGTTGTTTGTATTGGGACAATTCCGCCTGAAATGTCCGGTCTTCCCGCACCCATAACAGGTATAACTGGCTCCATCCTTTGTGTTGTTGTTGTTGTTGGGCACCTGGTTTTGTGGAAGCTGGGTCCTACAATACTTTGCTGTATGGCCCTTCCGGTTGCATCTTGTGCACATCATCTCTCTGCATTCCATGTGGTGATGGTAGTTACATTTGTTACACTTGGGAAGATTCCCTGTGTACTGTTTCGGAGCATTCGGCGTGGATGAGGCTGGAGCATGTGGTGCTGTGGTAGCTTGGGTTGCTGCATGGACAGTCACTGTCTGTTGCTTCTTAGATGATTCTGAGTTCTGTTTACCTCTTCTCTTATTGTTCTTCCCTTTCTTATTCTCTTTTTCCTTCTTAACGTCCGCTTCCACAATCTTAACACTCTTCTTGCTGCCATGATCATACAGTTTCTTGGCTAATCTTTTGGCCCTATCAAACGTCTCAGGGTTTGCCGCAATGACATTCCCTTGGATAGGTGCAGTCAACCCCCAGATGAACCTCTCAATCTTTTTCCCTTCTGAGGTGATCATACCCGGACACAGAAGGGATAGCTCGCTAAACCTAGATATGTATGCGTCGATATTGGAGTTCTGAACTGTCAAGGTCCACAATTCTTGTTCCATCTTTTGTATCTCGCCTCTAGGGCAGTACTCTGCCAACATCATTTCCTTCAGTTCTTCCCAGGGCATCACGTTTGCCACTGGAAGGGTCATGGCTTCGATGTGACCGTTCCACCATGAGAGAGCTTGATCTACAAAGGTACATGCTGCGAACTTGACCTTGCACCCATCTGGACATCCACAAATTTCAAAGACGGATTCAATTTTCTCAATCCACCTCTTTAGGGCTATGACACCTCCCGTTCCATTAAAGGTTCGTGGCTTGGCGTTGGTAAAATCTTTGTAAGAGCATGTATTGGTAGGTCCTTGATTTATTCCGTTGTTTGAACTTCCAGCCCCCTGCCCGTTTCCTCCGCCATTGTTCCCTTGGTGGATTTGCGCCATGGCTGCTGTGACTGCAGCAGATACAGCTGCTTGAAACGCAGCTGAGTCGACTTCCGGTGGTGTCGGTGGTTGATTATTTCTGTGGTTTGGTCTCTGCGGCATCTTGCTGTTACGGAACAGAAAGATGTTGAGTATGTATTGTTTTTAAGTTGGGAATTTCGTGAATCGTTTTGTGCATCTAAGTGTTTCCATAATTTACGCTAAGCAATAAGAATGTATAACACATAACAGATAACAACATCACAAATAAACACATAATATTTTCCACTAATATTATCCGCACTTTGATACATGAAAATTTGCTCGAAAGAGCATACATAGTGGTACAAAGTTCGACAACATAACGATTCTATGAGTAGTGTAATCACTTAAACATGGAGTCGGTAGTACATAGTATAGTGAGTACAAAAGAAACCTAACACTAGTAGAGGGGTCTACTGGTCCGAAGTGTTCTGGGATGCGTCGGGTGGTGGGGCTGATGATGCTTCATTGCTTCCTTTTGAGAGACCAATGCTACATACTTTTCCTTGGTTGATTCCTTCATGATATTTTTATGAAGAGCTCTGGTCTCTTCATTATTTCACAGATTTCCAAGCAAGGAGTTCAGATCCATGGCATCGATCTTTTTACTATTCTTAAGAACATCAGTGTGATGCTCCCCGCTTTTGCCAAGAGAGTCGAGAAACTTCAGAACCAACTGAGATGAATGATTGACGATTCCCAGCCTGCGCCTATCATTTGTTGGGTTTTGAGCATTCTAACACTCCTAAGTGTACATGCAACCCTAAATACATTGGATCTATGTTTTCTCTATTATACATGCAAATATGAATATTCCAAGGTATTACCCTATCTAGCATACAATCTTTGATACTTGGGTAATAAAACAGGTTAGAAGACATACCTTTTTATGTAGCTTGATTCCTTGATGCTTAAGAGCCGAGTGCCCCAAGTGTGACACCTCAAATGGTTCACACAACATCAAATACACTTGGAATAACTTAGAGAGAAATTAACCACTTCATGAAATCGGCTAGCCCTCACCATACACACATAGTTCTCTCATGGTGGCCGATTTTGACAAGAATAAGATGCTTATATAGTGTGTCACAATTAGGGTTACACCATGTAAACCCTAATTGTCATGGCCTTTCATTTCCATGATCCATGGGTACAAAAACACCATGGAGCATCCTATGGGTTTTAGCCCAACTTGATAATCCATGGAGCATTTGCCCACTATACAAGTATGGATGATTTACACAATCAACCCATATATTTAATTAGTCTCCTTTTGATCACTTAATTTATTCCAAATTAATTCTTTATCAATACTAATTAAATAATCTTATTAATATATTAGAACTTATAATATATTACCAAACCTTAAGTGTTATTTCTCTCATTTTAGTCTATCCAAATGCATGATGCCATGCAACCCAAATGGACCATGCCAATCGGGTCAAGTACATACCAAATATAGTTATGGACTTAGACACTAATCCAACATCATTAACGAAGCAGTTAAACCTATTGAAGATTTGGGTAAGTGACTCACCTTGTTGAGCAAAGAAATGCTCACATCTCCGATTGAGGTTGTTGATGGTTGTAGAATGGACTTCTACAGCGCCTTCATAAGCCACTGTCAGCGTCTCCATCATCTCTTGAGCTGATTCACAACTCTATATAAGATGATACATGTGATAGGGAAGAGAGTTTACAATTGTAGCCCTGGATTTCACATAAAGACTGAGCAGTCTTTTGTCATCATTATCATAACTCGTCTCTGGCTTTTGCTTCAAGGAGAAAACGAGAGTATTATTTATCATAGGTTGATATATAGGAACATGAGGACATTTTTAACAATCTTGCGCATCTCATAGTCCATGGTTTCAAGAACAACCATGGCTTTTGTTTTCGACATAGCAAAGTTGTGTTCATCGAAGGGAGGAATTTTGTTGAGACCAAAGGATTTCAGATTATTGGAAGACGACATGATTACTTGAGTATATAAAAAAAACCTACTCTAATACCAATTGAAGGTTTTGTATCGATCGGATACACTTCAAGTATAAAGAACATAAGTAAACTAATATAAGAAAAACAAAGAACAGAAAGTAAATAACACAGGGAGTTCTCCAAATTGTCTTTCACCAAGAAATGATTTGTCTTCACCAAGAAGATAGTTTGTCACAAAGACGGCCACCAAGACAAACTCTCTACATTAGGATTTACCCAAATGTAGATTATATACTAATCTATACAAGTATATCCCTTGATTAACAAGATTGTATCTTATCTACACTAAGAACTGATCTTTATCACAAGGATATCCGATCTGCTATCTATTATATATATATATATATATATATATCATTACCTAATATACAAAAGATTACATAGAATAACTATACTAAGTTGATGCTGATAGTAATGATATTGATAGTCATGATACGATGACGCTGTCGGCATATAGACGTTGACGCTGATAGATAGCATGTAGAGAGTTTGACTCATCATCACATAAAGTGTGACCTTTTATATATATATATATATATATATATATATATATATATATATGTGTGTGTATGTGTGTATGTTTTGTAAACTTTTAGTATATATATATATATATATATATATATATATATATATATATATATATATATATATATTCAAAACTAAAAAAATGAAATAAAAGGAATGGCAGTTTCCCAATTAGAGCAAACGCGAGTGCAGGAAAGGGGTGTTGAACCCCAAATTCTTTCATCGTAAATCGCACCGAGGATGTGATGTTATTGTGTGCTGTTCTACCCACACCATGTAACTTAAGGTTTAATTAAATTATTTTTGTAATAGAAAACAGTTAATAATCATTGGCAAATAAATCACCATAAAAGTGCTACTCCTTTCTAATGTATTTTTTAATTATGTAAGTAATTGAAATTATTTATGTTAAGTTTTTAGTTGATATAATATTATGCCTTTTGATGTTGTATTTTACTCTAACCGACAAAATGTTAAGAGTATAAAAATTCCATAACCTTGTTTTAGTAAAAAAAAAAAAGATAAATAAACCTTTATCTCTTAGCTATATGGACTTTTCTTAGGCTTAATGGAATTGTGTAGGAAGGAGCGAAAGGAAGAGGAAACGCATTCAGGAACACCACATCCAGGGTGTTGTTTAGGCTGTGCGAATATAGGGATGAGGGGTCTGTTTCTAGCATTCTCTCCTCTTCTGATTAGCGGTATTCATGGTTTTTAATTCCCTAAAAACGAGTATAATATTTGTATAAATATATTTAAAAAATAAGAAAGTGTAAGGTAATGAAAAGTGGTAGTTTCTTGGTTTTTGATGAGTGAAAGGTGAGAGTGGAAAACTGATGTCACTGCCAGACCCAGAAAGAAAACTCAGAGGTTGCATAAATTTTTTAAGGATTGCACTACTAGAACAAAACTCATTTTCGACGCGATTTCACCTCAAAATAGTCACTAAACCGATAAATTTACATTAAATATACACTTATTAGATTTTTTGATGGATTTACGACGGACTCGTGACAAATATTGTGACAGATTTTTGGCTAATTTGTGATATATTTCTATGAACAATATTTAAATTTATATGGGAAAATGACGCAACAACCCTATTATGTATTTAGACTTTACCCTTTCAATCCCAAAAGTTTTTTTCGTGACTTTTAAGGGAATAACGTTATTTGTTACCTATTCATTTGGTCACCTAACCTAATACAACCGGTTTCATATGCCATGCATCATTTCTGTTTGTTGACCTCCGTAGTCACACCTGATTATTTGACTTTTTTAATACAACCGGTTTCAAAATCCTCCAATTAACTCAACTTAAATGAATCATAGTTGTTTCTAAGTTTTTTTTACTACATCAAATTTCCAAACTCCTTTCAGATGAATGTTTAATAGAATTACAAGACACACGTGTACAAGATAAATGAAGAGAAGCCTGAATCTGAGCTTCAGATTGAAATCGCTTGCTCCTACCCCAAGCTCTCTCGTTCCATGTCCTTTCGACTTCCTCAAAACTCAATCCTTTCGTCTCCGGCACAAACATAAACACAAACGCAAACGCAAGAACATCAATGGCAGCCAGAATCAAGAACGTCGAACGAGTCCCAACAACTTCCGCAATCGAGAGAAAGTTCTGTGCCACCATAAAATTTGACACGCAATTCATCGTCACCGACATCCTTCCACATATCCCAATATATGATTCCGAATATATCTCAGAATTCACTTTCCATGGAACCGGACCCCATACTAGGGGCGAAAAATGTGATGTAAAGAGCTAATCTTAGAACAACGACCCACCCAATGTTCGCAACCCCAATCGATTCAAAGTAGAACAAACTGATAGAAGTGGGTATTCATGGGTGTTCGATGTGTTCAATTGGACTCAGGTTGCTTTGGAATCGATGGTCGCTTCCTCGAGACCAACTCCTCAGATTTGATTTTGATTTTTGGCTTTGGTTTTGATTTTGGAATTTAGATATTAAAATCGTTGGTTGCTTTGGAACCGGTGGTTGCTTTGGAATTGGGATATTTACCATGTTTTGATTTTTCATTTGGAATCTGGATTTTCATTAAGTCTTGATTTCAGCTTTGATTTTGATTTTGGAATCGGGGGTTTTCATCATGTTTTGATTTTCAACATTTTGACTTTGATTTTGTTCGTTTTTGATTACGACGTAATTTTGATTTGTGTTTTGTTTTGGTTTGATATTCATTAGCTTTATCCTGTGAAAATTGTAGAATCAAGCACCATGGAAGCTGTCGGAGACGATGGTGGCCATGAAGAAAATGATGAGTAGGAGCTGTGTGTGTGAGAGAGTGTGTGACAATGTGTGAGGTAAAAAGACGTGTCGTTTTGTTTATAATAAACAAATAAATGAATAGATCAATTAAGTGAGTTGGCATGTTACCCCTTCGTTTTGACAATAAGGACCAATTAGACCCGACAAAAATAACTTTATTCCCTTAAAATGCACGAAACAAATACTAGGGACTGAAAGGGTAAAATCGAAATACATAATAGAGCCGTTGCGTCATTTTCCCAATTTATATTTTACAGAAAAGTTTGAGCATTAACCTGTACTACCCCGTGTTACATAAAAAATAAATGGTGAGGTGTAACTACACTTTCCAGCTTAAAATAGTCAAAACAAAATAATATCCATAAATACTTAAAAAGCTATAAAAATGTAATAACAATATTATCAAATTAGACATTATGAAAAAAGCTAAATGCAGCTGCAGAGAATATATCTCGTTGTTGAACCTCAACCGTTATTTATTGACTGGCAAATGCTTTTCCGTCCGTACACCAACTAACTAAATTAAAAAGTAACAGTTTTTTTTCCTTTGACAAAATTACAAAAATGTTCCTTGTGGTTTGTCAAAAGTAACAAAGTCAGTCCCTGCTAATTTTTTTTGATGCAAATGGCCCCTGTGGTTTGCAAAACTTGCATAGATGACCGTTTTTACTAACGCCGTTACTATTCTGCCATTAGGGACTGAATCTGTAAGGGCATTTTCGTCTTTTCAAATATAAAGGGACTGAATTCGTGACATTTACTAAACCACAGGAACCATTTTTGAAATTTCTTTGAAAAAAAAAATTAAATTGCTAGGGGGAGGTCTCGAACTCATGAACTCCACCTCTTAAATTACGAAAGTCTTAACCAATTAAGCTAAATGCTCTCTTGGTTTATTCTTTCCTAAAACTAATTTATATATTAACAAAATCGTTAAAACACAAACAATAAATAAATTATAAAAAACATTTTTTTACATAATTTTTTTTAAATAAAACAAAATGTATTTTAGTCGTACTGTAAAAAAATAGTTTTTTACAAACAAATTGTACGTATTTTTATGTATTTATTTTACGTAAAATATATATTTTTTATCTTTAAAAAATACGTTTTCGTATAAAAAATACGTTTTTGTAAAAAATGTTTTTTTTATGTCTTTGAAATAGTAATAATTAACACTACTCATGACATAAAAAATGTATAGATTCTTTTGGTCGCTAGTTCTAACCGTTTTTTCGGTTATATGTATTAAAAACAAATTAACAACGATTTTGTTATGTATCTAAACAATTTATACGGTTTTTTTTATGTCAAGAGTAGTGTTAATAATTGTTACTTCAAAAAGATATATCACTATGTCTTTCCATCTTCATTTTAACCATACGATTTAGAACTTGCGATTAAGATGAAATACGTATTTAAAAAAACATAAAAAACCGTATAAATTGTTTAGATACATATAACCGGATACGTATACATTTTATCTAAAATACATATTGTTCTAAATCGTATTTAAAAAAACATAAAAAACCGTATAAATTGTTTAGATACATATAACCGAATACATATATATCTTATTTAAATTACGTATGGTTCTAAATTGTATTTAAAAAACATAAAAAACTATATAAATTGTTTAGATACATATAACCGAATACGTATATATCTTATTTAAAATATGTATGGTTCTAAATCGTATTTAAAAAAACATAAAAAAAACCGTATAAATTGTTTAGATACATAACAAACCTATTCGGTTAAAATACATATAACCGAATATGTATATATCTTATTTAAGACACGTATGGTTTTTTATATGTATTTGAAAAAACATAAAAAACCTATTGGTTATATATCTTATTTAAAATACGTATTTCATCTTAATCACAAGTTCTAAATCATATGGTTAAAATGAAGATGGAAAGACATAGTGATATATCTTTTTGAAATAACAATTATTAACACTACTCTTGACATAAAAAAAACCGTATAAATTGTTTAAATACATAACAAAATCGTTGTTAATTTGTTTTTAATACATATAACCGAAAAAACGGTTAGAACTAGCGACCAAAAGAATCTATACATTTTTTATGTCATGAGTAGTGTTAATTATTACTATTTGAAAGACAGAAAAAAACATTTTTTACAAAAACATATTTTTTATACGAAAACGTATTTTTTAAAGACAAAAAATATATATTTTACGTAAAATAAATACATAAAAATACATACAATTTGTTTGTAAAAAACTATTTTTTTATAGTACGACTAAAATACATTTTGTTTTATTTAAAAAAAATTATGTAAAAAAATGTTTTTTATAATTTATTTATTGTTTGTGTTTTAACGATTTTGTTAATATATAAATTAGTTTTAGGAAAGAATAAACCAAGAGAGCATTCAACTTAATTGGTTAAGGCTTTGGTAATTTAAGGGGTGGAAGTCATGAGTTCGAGACCTCCCCTAGCAATTTAATTTTTTTTTTCAAAGAAATTTCAAAAATGGTCCTTGTGGTTTAGTAAATGTCACGAATTCAGTCCTTTTATACTTGAAAAGACGAAAATGCCCTTACAGATTCAGTCCCTAATGGCATAATAGTAACGGCGTTGGTAAAAAGGGTCATCTATGCAAGTTTTGCAAACCACAGGGGCCATTTGCATCAAAAGAAATTAGCAGGGACTGACTTTGTTACTTTTGGCAAACCACAGGGACCATTTTTGTAATTTTGTCTTTATTTTATTTATTTTTATTTTATTTTATTTTGTTTTGTCTGTGAAGCTCATCTGTTAAACATAATGCCATAATGGTGTCATGCTGGTCATCCACTACCCTCCAAATACTCACAATACCAAGATTAACTCAACAGTAGAATATGAACACTTTTGAGAAATGTGATCATTAACATAAGACGTGTGATGATATTTTTTGTAACTATAACAAAATAAAGGATAATAACAAAATGACCTAAATAGGTCGTTCTGTTCAACAAAATAACACTACGTTATTTATTTATTATATAAAATCATCTTTTATCTAGCAACATGTTAACTGTTAAAGGAAAATTACTGACATTAATGTTTCGACGTATCTTTTTTATGATACAAATTGTAAGACAAAACTGCAATAAAGTCATTACATATTGGTTTCATAATCGATTTAGTTTCTGTATTTTTTCCATTCAATTAAGTCCTAAATACCGGTAATCGTATTCAATTTAACATTTTGACCCGGTCAACAGGTCATCCAGTTTTCAAAAATTACATTTTTGGCCCAGATTTCAAAATTTACTACAAATTTGTTCCAAAATTTACACTGTTGGCCCAAATTTTAAATTTTGTTACAAATTTGGTCCAAATTTTACCCTTTTTGCCCAAATTAAAGAATTTTATTATGAATTCATCGTAACTTTAGTTTTTTATATTATAACTTTTTTTCTCAAAAAATTGTTTCTAATATGTTTTTTCTTTATAAAATCATATTTATACAAAAAAAAAATGCATTTTCACATAAAAATCTTATATTTTCTATATAAAAACATTTTTTTAAAACATTTTTGTATATGAAATATCTAGTTATAAAAATAGGAATTTATTAAGTATATAAATATATACAAATCCGTTTTTATAAAAAAATATATACAAAAACTGATTTTACAAAAAAAATGTATACAAACACCTATTTTATTATAAATGTATACAAATACACACACACACACACACACTCACACACACACATATATATATATATATATATATATATATATATATATATATATATATATATATATGCACACAAATAGGTGTGTGTCTATATATTTTTTTATAAAATCGTGTTTGTTTACATTTTTTTTTTATAAAAACTTGTTTGAATAATTTTTTATATAATAGGTGTTTCTATACATTTTATAAAATGTATATAAACACGATTTAATAAAAATATATACAAACACGTATTATATAAAAAATTATTCAATCACGTTTTTATAAAATGTATACAAAATACGATTTTATAAAATGTATACAAACACGTATTATATAAAAAATTATTCAAACACGTTTTTATATAAAATAATATAAACAAACACGATTTTATAAAAAAAAATATTGATACACACACACACACACACACACACACACACACATATATATATATATATATATATATATGTGATAGGTATTTGTATATATTTATATACTTAATAAATACCTATTTTTATAACTAGATACTTCATATAAAAAAAAAATTTAAAAAGTTTTTATATAGAAAACTTTTGATTTTTATGTGAAAATACATTTTTTTTGTAGAAATATGATTTTATAAAGAAAAAACATATTGGAAACTCTTTTTTGAGAAAAAAAGTTGTAAAAAATCT